ATGGAATTTACTACGTCAAATGTGCGACAGCTCCACCAATAATAATAATAATAATAGTAATAATAATAATGGCCCAATGCTTGCTAATTAGAAATTACCAAGCACGCATACTGTGTTGACCCAATATATCCAGAAATAATTGATCATCTGGTATCAGGTTTCACGGTGTTAGCACACACTGAATATAAAATTCGGCATGCTAGATCGGGCTAATATCTGCATTGGAAAATATGAACTTTTACGGGAAGGAAACTATAAGAAACTAGTATGAACATCACCCAGACCCGGTTACAAAGATAGGACCTGTAACAATTTTCAGGGACAGAACAATCAAAGATAATCGCCCAGACATCGGGATTAGAGAAAATCACAAAAATAGAACGTGCTTTCTTATTGATATGGCAGTCCCTGTAGATTGTAATGGATCTTTGAAGATATTCACAAAAAAAAAAACTAACAAAATACAAGGATCTTGAAAAGGAAATTTAAAAACTGTAACACATGAGGACATCAATAATTCCAGTTGGAGTTGGAACCCTCGGATTGATTGGAAAAGGTTTCAATAGACTTATTGAAGGGATCCCTGGTAGCCCATGCCTTAAAGGAATGCGAAAAAGTGTACTCACAAGTACAGCTCACGCATTGCGAAGAGCTTTATTTATGTAAAATGTGTGTGATTTTAAAGGGATTTTTTTTTAATTTATCAGTGGAAATACCGTGAAGCTATTTTGAACTTTAGGTCTCTGGTTGGGACCCGGACAGAATTGTGTATACAAGAGAAATCAAAGGAAATAATAATAATAATAATAATAATAAAACAATCAAAACTAACCGCCCTGACATTGTTATTAGGGACCGCAAACAAAAAATTGCTTCCTTATTGATATGGCAGTCCCTGCAGACTGCAATGTATCTTCGAAGATCTTCAAAAAGCTATCAAAATACAAGGACCTTGAAATCGAAATCTCAAAAATGTGGCACATGAGAACATCAACAATCCCTGTTGTGATTGGAGCCCTCGGATTGACCGAAAAAGATTCCAATAGACTCATTGAAGGGATTCCTGGAAGACCATGCCTTAAAGAAATACAAAAAATTGTTTTCACGAGTACAGCCCACAACTTACGAAGGCTTTATCTATGTAATATATATATGTATGTATGTATGTATGTGTGTGTGTGTGTTAATCGGTCAGTGGAAAATGTCATGATGCCATTTCTGACCTTAGGTCTCCGTGCAGGACCCCGAAAGAAATGTGTACACACCAGAAATCAAAAGAAATAATAATAATTTGTCGTGCAGATTTTCATATTCATGTTATATTTCACCTTCATGGTCATTTTATATTATTTTAACTTTATTTTAATCATTTTGATCTGGTAATAATGTATGAACTGAAAAACCACGCAAAATTGAATGAATATGTTAATTTTATGTAGGTGCAGGCGATGTGACCGTGTGGCAGCAATGTAATGCGTTATTAAAACGTACTTTCTCAATAATGTCTACCGAGTTGACTCTCATGTCACGTCTCTGGTTGGGATGGTCGAATACATGTGTATATATAGAGATAAGAACATTAATTTGTTCAGTATCAAATCTCTTTAAGAATGGATGTGATTCCAGAAAAAAAATGTTTATAGATTTTCAACAGTTGCGTGGTGATTTTTAAGCGTAGCTTAGATATGGCACAAGGCCGAAAGTATGGGGCACCCAGAGAGGATCGAACTCACTAATCAGTCGTAATTCATCTAGCGAGACAAGCTTGCTAACCATTACACCACATCAAAGTGCCCGAACAGTGCACTAATAAGAAAGTCAAATTATAGGAATTTGGTAAGCCAGCTACACTACAGAAAATATCTTTTACGAGCTTAATTAAATGCTCAATATAATTATCATTAAATTATAGAGCATGTGTAGACATTAGTAGAAAAACGATAAAAAATGAAAAACATCGGCCGCCGTACATGTAATTCAAGTTATATATATATATATATATATAATTTAACCAACACAAGAACAGACCAAAATTAATGATAAAAAATGAAAACTACAGATAAAGTTCACTTTCTTCAGAAACAGTCATTCACTCCTGTAGTTCAATGCTACTAACAAAAAGGAATTGTTTTTCTCTTGAGGATGGCCATGCTTGCCGAAACTAGTCGAGGATTCTAATTGAAATAAAACAATAATATATATATATATATATATATATATATATATATATGTGTGTGTGTGTGTGAAAATATATAGAAAATATGAAGGAACTGGTTAGGTAAATAATCCAAAGTCCCTTAGTATTTTAGTTATTATTTTTAAAAAATAGTGCTCGATACAAAAGTAGAGCATAAATATAATTATTTATTTAAAAATATGATTCCAAATCGCGACATAAGAAGTCCCATGTTTCAAAACAAGAGCCGAAAACTTAAAATTTCGCTTGAAGATGGAACAGAGCTTATTTTAACTCAATTTAATTTAAATAATTATATTGAAGTTTTCGGCTCTTGTTTTGAAACATGGGACTTCTTATGTCGCGATTTGGAATCATATTTTTAAATAATTATATATATATATATATGGTATAAAAATGACAATTGGAAAAAATCTTAGTTCTTGCCGACGCGTTTCGTCTTCGGACCGTATCAAGACAAACATTGGAAGCGAAATGTTTTGCTGTCATTATTCTGGGAAATTAACTATACTGTCGACATAAAAAAAAAAAAACCTCTTAGTAAAAAGAAAGTTACCAATATCCAAAAAGATGCTTATGTACGAGCGTTTCTCTTTTATAAATTTTAGATTTAATATAAATCTAAACAAAACATTTTGCTTTATGTTTGCCTTGATAAAGTCGGAAGACGAAACGAGTCGGCAAGAATAAAGATTTTTTCCAATTATCATTTTTATACCAATTTGTTTTATCCACAGAATTATTCTGGGAAATTTAACTATATATAAAAACCTTTTGACTGCGTTCGATATTTAGATTTATATACGAAAACTACCTCCAGGAGAAGTTTATTAGTAATATGACCAAGAACTTGGTGCAAAACATCCCGTGCAGCTGTGGCAAATAATTTAAAGGCGAAATCAGCACATAAAAATTTAATTTTTTTTAATCGAAATTTCAGAGTGAATAAGCTATGAAATGAGAAATGTCGAAATATGTATAACTGTAGAAAAGCCTCGATGGAAGAAAAGTTACAAATAATAATCAACAAATAACATAGTAATCAAAAAAATCCTTAAAAGCATCTATAATATTCCATTTGGAAGTTTCTAGACTAACACCATTCTGGAGATCTCTAATTAAAGTGGGAGGGAAATCTCGGACAAGTCGTCTTACAATAGTTTTTTTTTTCTTAAAATATTAAAAATATGCTTGGTAATGAACAAGCTATTGGGATAACTTTCCTTCTCCTCACAATTTCTATACACTGCGCTAGCCGGTCATGTCATCCTTTCCAGACAATCAGCGAAGTTTGGTTTTACACAGAGATAGTGGTTGCTTAGACACCGGAGAGAAAACACGCGTCCCGGACTGGTGAGCAGAGACAGTCCTTTGCAACATGAAGTCTTTTGTAACATCCACTAATTTTCCTTTAGAGAGTCGAAGAGAAGGCATGTAATACGTTTTAAATTTTGTTGGCAGGTTCTTTCTTTTGTCAGAGAAAATTATTAACCTTCCTCTGATGTGTATTTCTGTTATAAAATTTGAGCAACTCTCAGATTCGAAGGCCAGATGCTACTAAGGCAGTCCAACATATATTTGATAACCCAACAAGATTGAGTAAACCAATTCAAAATTCAACTGCCTACTTGAGAAAATTAGCAATCCTGAAATTCCTATAGAAAGTACCAGAAAAGACAGAGAGGATGGGAATTACGCCAAATCTCAGGAAGAAATAAATATTGGCTCGAGTCAGAAATAATTTTCATTTTTGAGAACCAATTGTAATAACGAATGTATCATCCTAATTAAGCGTTCTTTAAATATATCATAACAAGTGATGAAAAGTGGGTTACATACAAAAATGTTCGACGCAAAATGCGGTGGATTGACATGGATAAATCTTCACAACTGGCCCGCAAAATCCATGGAAGAATGTTGTGCGTGTGGTGGGATTGTTGGGATTCATTTAGGGTTTTCAAAATGCAAAGAAACACTAAATGCAAATTTACACGTCCAGCAGCTGCAACCTGTCCATAGAAGTTTGGTTGAAAAACGTTGTGTTTTCGTGTATGGGAAAGTGCAAGAGCACATAGAACAAAAAAAAATGTTGAAATTCGCCTAACTCTTCTGCCATGTTCACCTAACCTCCTGTACTAACCAATTGTTTCCCTTTTCGATCGCTGACAAATTCTATAATTTTTTTAAGCATTTCTCCCCAAGCAAAGCGGGAGTGCCACTAGCACGCAAGGGGTTACAAAGGAGTGAGAGTAAGAGTAAAGAGGGAGGGGTTACAGAGAGTGAGAGTAAGAGGTGTTTGAGGAAAGGATAAAGAGAACGACTGTGATCAGAAGATGTCGATTGACAAATATATTTGAAGATTATAGCTATCAGGGAAATAAGTAAGAGGAAGGGAGTTCCACTGTCGGGAAGTGCGAGAGAAGAAGCTGTTGGAGTAGAAGAGGCGGTTACATTTAACCATTTCGACAGTGAAAGGGGTGGGACCGAGATGCCAATCTGGTAGCACGCTTAAATTGGGGTACCATTGAAAGTAGCTCGTCAGAGCAGTTGCCATGAAAATATATTTGTAGAAAAGGCAGAGGGAAACCGCTGGATTTTGTCGAGGGCCTCGATTTGAACAGTGGGGGCACTAGACTATATATGGCAACACTATTCAATGCAAGGACGAATGGTAGATTTGAAGGATGAGGAAAACCTTCTCTAATGAAAATCACATTCAAGATTTCGAAAAACTTGCTGAAACAGAACAATCACTTTTATATGACAAAGAAGATCGAAAACTTCAACATTAAGTCTCAGCTTCTGACTATATCACGTTGAAACACTGATTCCCGTGCGATCACCGAAGTTAAACAACGTCGAGCCTGGTCAGCACCTTGATGGGTGACCGGTTAGGAATACCAGATTTAACTCATTGTAGACTCAACAAGCAAGAAGATAATCAAAGACACACTTTTTGTTTATCGTTACATACCTTTATTTTCTCCGTCCCCTATAGTTATGCCCCCCGGGCCACTCTTTCTAACCATGGCGCAATGTAATCTTTCTATCTTCACATATCTGGCCGTGTGCCATACTATTAAAGTTAAGAAATATCTATGTACCCTCATTTTCTTTTAAGCTTTTACTGTATAAGTTTCTATTACGTATCTATAATAAAATGAATCCTACATACATGAATTAGTCTACCCCCCCCCTTTCCACTTTTTTCTCACTTACAGGCGAGCGGTGGGAATGGGCATGTACGTACGCTAGGAAAACTTAATTAGATCAAGCCTCTAGGCCATTCACACGAAACGAGGGTCACAAAGTGAACGGGACCCACTCTACCCTCTTTCCTGTGCAGCGCCACTTGTCTACTAAGGCCTTTTTTTTCTCTTCTCTTTAATAGATATTGAGAATTTTTCAACCTCTTTAAGGTTACTGTTAAGGTTTTTTTCTAGGATGAGAAGAAATTTCCAACAAACTTATTGCGGCGGTCGAATAAGTCATTGTCTTTAAGCAGGAGGAGGAGGAGGCTTGTATTTGCTTATGAGTTGATAAATATGTAACAATAAATGAAAATGATGGTGAAGAGACTTTGATGTCGGAAAACATTGGGTCATTTAATAACGAAGTTTAATGTTTTCTCTAAATAAAGCCATGTATTTAAATATGTCAAAAATGTTTTCTTTTAAATACTAAGACTATTAGCAGTTATGGTTATATTTTTGAAATTTGTTTAATTTCTTTTAGAAATTGGAATATAAAACGTGGATCTGTTTTTTAAAAAAAAAGTTCTTTTAAATTTGTTGTTTGGTAATCAAGGAAGATCTTCAACAAATCCGCAGACTCGCACAGGACAGAAAAGATTGGCAAAATATTGTCGAATCAGCATACAATGTCACTGAAGATGAGAGAACATGTTAATTCATGACCTTAAATCGAAACAGTTTTATGATGATACTCGGTAGCTCAATGGGATTCCAGAATAATGACAACAAAACATTTCGCTTCCAATCTTTGCTTTGATAAGGTCGGAAGAAGAAACGCGTCGGCAAGAACTAAGATTTTTTTCCAATTGTCATTTTTATACTATATATATATAGTTTTATTATTTCAATTAGGTTCCTCGACTAGTTTCGGCCATCATCAGGAGAAAAAAAAAATTATTTTATATATATATATATATATATATATATATTTAGACAGAGAGAGAGTGTGTGTGTGTGTGTGTGTGTGTGTGTGTGTGTGTGTGTGTGTGTGTCAGCGTCTGATTCGCAACCTCTTCGTCACCGAGGCACGTTGAACAGTTGGTATGACGTTTGCCTGATAACGTTACGTTATCAGGCAAACGTCATACCAAGTTGAGGTTTCAATTCTCCTGTAGTGGATGCGAACTGCTGATGAGTCCCAAATATAGGACGAAACGGCCGTCCAGTGCTTTCTGCATTCTGTTGAGGTTTCTTCTAGACTCGATGAATTAATTATGATTATCTCAAACCCTCCTAATTTCTATCACACACACGCACACATATAAGCAAATATATGGATATAGATCCGACAGTATGAAGAAAAATATATTCGGAAAAAACAAAACAAAAATCCTTATATACAATTATGCTGTTTTTTGATGTTAATTTTGAACATCGGACGTTTTTGCACATCGTCTTCTTTGACATATTGATAATGTTGTGAATTGTCCTGAAATGGTATATTTATGAATATGTCCTGAAGATGGTTTATTAGACCGAAACGTCCGACGTTGACATTTTAACATTAAAACAGCATAATTGTATATATATATTTTTATTTTGTTTTTTATATATATATATATATATATATATATATAGCAGGTTAAAGAACATAGGATAAAAATTAAATTTATTAAAGCAAAACTTGAATTACATGTACGGCGGCCGATGTTTTTCATTTTTTATCGTTTATTCTACTAATGTCTACACATGCTCTATAATTTAATGATAATTATATTGAGCATTTAATTAAGCTCGTAAAAGATATTTTCTGTAGTGTAGCTGGCTTACCAAATTCCTATAATTTGACTTTCTTATTAGTGCACTGTTCGGGCACTTTGATGTGGTGTAATGGTTAGCAAGCTTGTCTCGCTAGATGAATTACGACTGATTAGTGAGTTCGATCCTCTCTGGGTGGCCCATACTTTCGGCCTTGTGCCACATCTAAGCTACGAGGAACAGTTTCAAGGATCGAAATTGCTGAGTTTCTTCAAAATCAATTTGATGAGGCTACTATCTACCAACTCTTGTGAACTCTGAACTTTTTGATGTCAGTCTTTTCAAAGTAAAACTCCATTGCTTTGTTAGCTGGTCATTCAGGATCCATTGTTTGCTGTAGGTTTTTTTCTTGAACAGTGAGCTGTATTATAAACAAACGGTCTGATACTTTCCAACATTATTCCTCCATTTACTGTTTGCATTCTGTCTCTAAACATATCAGTTGGCATTATTCGGACTATCTCATCGTTATCGCCATATTTATTACAACGTTTCGGCCGTTGTACGCTCCGGCCTTCTTCAGGTGGTTGGAATGTCGAACTGAACCCTTTATTTCGCTCACTGGGGTAGACTGTTCTAGTTCCACGTACCATGTTTAATGGTTGTCAGTTATAAGTTATCTCCTGTTAATTTCCCTCTGAAAGTTCTCCACTGCCTTAACCTTATAATCTCCTTTGGCAATCTTTAACTTTCATGCCGTCCAACCACCTGAAGAAGGCCGGAGCGTACAACGGCCAAAACGTTGTATTAAATATGGCGACAAAGATGAGAACAATAGTCCGAATAATGTAAATAATGTACATAATACCTCATCTCAGAAATATAGACAGATATCAGCTGGCGTTTGTTTTTGCTGATGTTACTGTTAAGTCCATGTCCAATTTTTCATTTTCCGAATATTGTCTTTCTCAGTATACAAAGTCTTAAATAAGTAGTTACTGCGTAGCAGTAACTGGAGCAGCCATTACCTACTCCGCCAAGAATATATACAATGTTTTTCTTACCCTGAAAGAAGAGTGTAACAATGTTGTCAGACCGACATACTTCATTATTGGATATTTATAGACAGAAACTACGACGACTTATGACAACAGAGTCAACGTTGGTTTGGGCAATGACAGGATTATTTATAGAGATCATTGAACGCTTCTTGCAACAAATGTGCAGACACTAACCACCTCGACCCCCCCCCAACTATTCGCCAATATTTTAAGGCGGTCACATAAAATCTACCCACTATCGTTCCGCTTTATCGCGTCATTCCCCATTATCGTGCCTACCTTTATTACACAGTCTTTTGTGCCTGAAGTCATTTGCCTTCATTTATTTAATCTCCTTACGCTAGAGAGCTCTATTTTCTATTCAAAGTTTTCCTTATTTATTTCACAACCTACTGTCCCTTTTAAAGATTTTTTTTCTTTCGACAGTTTCGTGTGAGCAACTTTTCCAGCATTGCCTGTTTTCATGGCGCTATCTAGATTACATTTTAATCAAAACCCGACCCGATCTATTTTCTCTAGTTGCCAAAGGTTATTGTTTTCTCTGACCATTATTAATACTGTCAGTGAAAAGTTATCAGATGAGGAAAATTTAATCGTACGAATTTACCTTCAATAAAAAAGGGGACCCACAGTACATGGAAAACGGAAAATTAAGTGACAGCGAAAATTAGGGCAGCCCAGCCACCGTGAGGCGAATGACATTTTCCAGACTATGTATTGTATGAAAAGGAGGAACAAAATTTCGTACAGGCCTAATGAACCCCTTGTCAGCAGCCACAAAGTATCTTTCGGGTGACCTTGAGGCAGAAAATTTGTAATATAAATTTAAACATATTTGCATTCATTTTTATAAATACAGGCGAATTTCTAATTTATGTAATGACTACCAAACGGGGTTCCATTCAAATAAGCACTATATATATATATATATATATATATATATATATAAAAAGAGAGAAATTGAGGTGTGTGTGTGTGTGTGTGGACAAATTGTTTCATGGAGTGCGGCTACAATATTTGCTAGTCTATGGGAAAAATTTGCAATTCCTGATATAATGGGTCTCATGGGGATGCCGGTTTCGGGTACGTCATCATATTTTAGGGTGCCATTTTTCTCAATTTTTATTATATCTTCGTATTACGAACCATTTCTAAAATCGATTTATTGAATTTATCTGTAGTTTTCGAGGTACAAATATTCAACAAATCGATACGAAAATTAGTTAATTATGTAAATAAGATGATCAAAATCGATCGAATATCAATTTAAAATAGCATGATTTTATGGTCTACTAAATATATATTAAAAGCTCGGGTGGTCTAAAATGTCCCATGAAAATACATGAGGCTGCTGACGTCTAGCCCGCAATTGTTAACTGTAACAACGATTCGGTATTTTAACTGTTCCATCTATCAACATATATAATCGCTCTAGATTTAAAAGTTATCTTCGAAAATATGCCAGGTCTGTACTGGCCGAACAATGACTCATCATATTCCCGGTACATAATGAGTTGACTGCCACTAATATATATATATATATATATATATATATATATATATATATATATAAATATAAATCACAATTAATTGTCAAAATCGATAAGCAAAAAGAAACAACGTATGCGATATACGCCCAAGCAAAAATACACCATCTTAACTTGAAAGTACACAAAAATCTCAATAACCCAGTAAGTAATTCCATTAGAGTGAAACCTAGGCTTCGAGAATATAATCCTAAAATATCCAAACGCTCCCCTATTGTCTGAAGATGGCTTGTTCCCCTAAACTTGATCAAGATTGAGTAATATAATCTTTATATCACGATCACGAGTCGCATAACTCGTAGAGGCTCCACATGCACTGCCGTCGTAGCAGAAGTGATATGTCA